ACAAAGCAAGGTCGCCTATAACACTATATAGAAATTATTTGACCTCTTTTCTCAACTTGTCCTTATTGTCCAATTGCATAGTAGCCATCGCAATTTTCAAAGTCGGACCGTGGACTTGATTCATTTCCAGACTTTTTCCCGGCATCGTAGTTAGCATCGTCAATGAGCAATGCCATTCTTAGCACCAAATTACAACTCGCGAAAGGCACAAATGAGCTCGATCCTTTGATAAATTGTCAGTTGACAGTTGTGGTATCTCTCCCTTTGTCCTTGTGTATTCATTTATGGACGCGGAACACATTGCAAGGAGGGAATATGAAATCTACTGAAAATCAATATGAAGAGTGGTTGGATATGATGTGAATACAAGAAAATGCAAGATACGAGAGGCCATCGATATCCTGACTGAAAGAAATATTCTGAACAGGAGACCAAAAAAAGAAAGATCAGCAAAAACTTTGTACATTGCTGAGCGATCTTGGAGGAGATTATGGAACAGCAAGATCAGCAAAAAGAAAGCAAGGAGATCAAGGAAATATGTTAAACTAGAGAAAAAGAAATAGTAGGGAGGCCCCAGAGAAACAATTGAAAATATAGAGACGTCTACAGTAAGCCTACCTAAATCAAGTAGAATAACTATCACATTTGAGAATCAGAACACAAGAGACTAGAGCATAAGAAAAGTAGACTTGGCATTATGGATGGAAGAGTGAGAGATGCGGCGGAGACCATAGACAGTAGCGATATTAGTAATCGAGGCTAATCGTAGACATGGTCCGTGAAATAAAGGTTTGACCACGATATTTACCCGGTGCATACGCAGGAAAGTTATAATTGAATATGCAGCATCAAGTTTATTTCCAATGCAACTTGAGTGTAGAACATAATGCTTCGAATAGAACAGATATGGCGGCAAAGATCAAGTAAAATCACTGAACCAGGCAGATAAGAGACGAATCCTTCAAGGCAAGACGAGAAAGTGATATGATCTGAAGGAAGAGGATTGCGGGCTGAAATGGCAGACTTAGACCAGCACAACCAGCATAGTGGGGGGAGAATCAATGAGTGTGAATAGGTCTAACTAATTCTGCTCAAAAGGGTATACCAGAACTAGGTTTGAATAAGCAAATAAGAAATTGTGATAGTGTAGGAGTGGTGAAAGGATGTAGGATAGTTGAATAAACCAGGACAGAAGGAGAAATACCACAACTATTTAGCAGACAATTGGTCAAAGGATCGAGTTTGTTTGTCTTTTTGACGAATTGTAGTGTAGTTTAAAGAATGGCAAGGCCCATTGACGATGCTGATTACGATGCTAACGAAGTCTGGGAATGTACCAAGTCCACGGTCGGACTATGGAAATTGTCTTAGATACTATGCACTTGGACAAGTTGCGTTACTCTCAGTCACCCTGACAATACGACAGAGTTAAGAAAAGCAAATCAAACAACTTCTATACAACGAAAGGAGACCATGACAGTACTTAAGGTGTTTCACACAGAGCTGGTCGTTCATGCAATTTCCACGCTTCACGAGTTCAAGAATAGTCGTAATTGAAAAAGGTTAGTGTTATTCATGAAGAAGTTGAAATAATCAACGTTTTTTATTTATATATTTTAAACGATTTACTCGAAGATATGAAGACCAAGATGGTGTAGCCTGCGATATGGTCGTAGTCTCCTTTCGATTTATAGAAGTGGGTTGACCTAGTTATCGCAACTTGGTCTTGTTTTCAGGGAGCATTAGTATAGCATACCTAGTCCGAAGCCCTCTGCCATAGTAGTTATCATAATTCCCAGCATCAGAGAGTGGACTTGGTAAATTCTCAAACGTTTTGCCGGCATCACTGATGATGCTGACTATGATGCCATTGAATCGTTTGAGAATGTACAAAGTACACTTTGTGATGCTGGGAATTATGATAACTGATATGATAGAGGACTTCGAACTAGGTGCGCTCTGCTAAGTCTCCCAGACAACAAGATTAAGTTGCGACAACGAGGTCAACCCAAAACTATTTACTGTTTGCTTTTTATAATGTGACTTTGATTGAACAATTTACTTTAATCTTGGAATCTACCTCATACATAGCACCATGCTAATAATTAGAATAAATTTGCAAATTGTATATTAGAAAATAATTTCATACGAAATTAAGGTATTCCCAATAATGGATTTTAACTCCGACTGACAACCGAAATTCAAGTGTAATACAAATATGCTTTTTCTAAGTGACATCCCATTGCGACTCAAGGGAAATATAATTCATCAAAGAATTAATCGAGATACACTTTCTTTATATTAAAAATCATTGCGGGAAAATTAAACTACTAGTCCTTAATCACCTTACGCGAAATAGGGTGAATAGACCCCATATAAATGAAGTAAGCTTGTATTTGCTTCAGCAGTGTAGTAATATAGCGTTCTTCTTTGGTTTATCTTAAATTTGCATTTTTCGAATGCACTCCTTACTTTTTATTGATGATTCGGGGTACAGCCTCATCTTCAAATCCATTTTTACCGACATTTGGTAATCCCGGTTTGTCTACTTCTAAAAATTAAATCACGCCTACGGTTATATCAGTTTGGGAAAGCAAGACTATGTTAAGTGCACTGGAAACGCCAGTTCCACTCATATCATTGTGGGAAAATTCAACTGCGAGTCCTTCATCACCTTAACCAAAATAGATGAACATAACTCAAAAATACCAAAAACAAATTATCTTCATAACTTGGTTGGAATTTCAGGGAGACCTTGGGGGTGCACCTAGTCCTGGGTCCTCTGCTAGTGTTTGTGATTTCCTAAATCGGACCAATGACTTCGTACATTTCCAAGCGCTTTGCCAGCATAGTCACTGAGAGGCGCCATCGTCAGCACAGAGTAACAAGTGAAGGCAATCCCCTTGGCCAATAATGGTACCATTCCTCGCCCCTATTTTTTGTTCTACCTTCTAGTGTTGCATCTCTTTCTGTCAACCCCACTTCATATGGCCCATCTACTTACTTTCACACAATTCTTTAATCTCGTTTCCTCCAATCTTGCTAAAGAAGGTACAGCTAAAAGTGGGTTTAGTGCAGCATATTCATCTTCACCACCGGTTACAGGTGTCGCTTGCAAGGCTCCTGACCTTCATTCAGCCCACCTACTCCGCTTGTCAATAGATCGCTACTACACAACAAACTCACTGGTTAACTGTCTAAAATCGTGCTGCCTAAGAGTCTTCAATTCACGTCCCCGATTACGCCATTTTCGAGGATTTAGAGCAGACCATATTCATGCCGATGCCAATTATCAGGATCTTCCTCTCCCTAGGCTTCAAACCCATGACTCAGTTATCCTCCTTCCCACTCACATTGTATCTCATTCTTTAAGCCGTGTGTCCGGCTTCAGTCATAACCGCAGGTGTGAGAATGCACCGCTTCCCTTTTCCCCTCCTAAATCTCTGAAAACACACTCATCTCGTCTATCAAGTTGACAGCCCATCTAAGGCTAGGATACTAGAATGTTCAGGTATGTCACCAATCACTTCTCATTAAGTCATATACACGAAAAATGCACACAAGCACACGCACGCACACTGGTGACCTATATCTGGCCCGCCTATATCTTTAGCATTTAATTTCCTATCTCCCATCCCATAGGTGAACCCCTCCTGGGTAAAATGTTTGGCCTCTTCTCACTGCAATCGCCTTTTCTTGACTTTCCTTTGTCCTTCATGAGTCGCTCCTTGGCGATATTTCTTCCTGCTGTTGAACAGGTGTCCTGGGTTCAGGCGTCTCCTTTTTGATGTCTTCGCTAAATCTCTAAGTCCGCTCATGCATTAGGCGAAATTATCGCTGACTCTTTCCTCTTTCAATCTCCTGTTCATCAGGTTTCTTTCAAAGAGGATGCCCACAGCCTCCCTGAACTTCTTCCCATATGAGACCAGTCCTTCCATTGCATTCCAATCAATTGCGTGGCTGATAAGGACGATACGTTTAGCTATCCTCGATCTTTCCTAATCCATTTTTCTGCATAGTCGCTAGTGTTGTTTGATCCTTGTGCTGATTGCCTTTCCCATATCTCCGATATATTTTTGTTTACAGTCCTGACAGTTTGTGTCCTAAACTTGGGAGCACATAATATTGTTGACTTCTTTATGTTGTGTGAGCAAGCTGATCAAGTGTCGTCCTTTCGTTCAGGATTATACGAATGTTCCATTTCAATAGTATCGACCACAGTTTCCAATTTAATTCGCAGGAGGGCAGACATATCCTTCATGCTTCCTCTGTTCCTCTTGTGTTCCTTCTATAATCCCCATCCCTCTATCTGTTCATCACGATCCGCATTTAAGGTTGTATTGAATTTCTGTATATCCGTTTCCAAGATTGCCTGAGTTAGTTTCTTTAAATCACATTCCCACAACTCAGAACAGATGAGTCGTAGGCTTCTTTCGACTAAACTTCAGAATATTCCAATCTTCATTCCATAAGTATGGTTAGACTGGAAGTTAAAAAAATATCACAGCATGAGATTTCTTTCGGAAAAGTCGTTTCTTGAAAGTCTCCTCGGAGCCAACGACAGCCACATCCAAGAACGGTAAGTGTCATTTCTCTTCCAAATCCATGGTAACATTGATTTTAATCTCCGTGTCGCTTAAGAAGAGTAGAAAATCGTCTAATTTTTATTTTCAATTCGAACAGAGTGCATAGTAGTAATCCAACTATCGCATAATTACTGTTAGCTGCTAGTGTGATGTCTTGAAATTCTACTCTAACTTGTCCATATAAGCAACAGAGGTGAGAGTGGTGAGCCCATAGGCAGGGTAAATATCTGCTCATTGATGTGGCTCTTGAAAGCAAACTAGGTAGTTTATATTGTTAGGTTAATTAATCGGATTAGAGATTATTTTAGGATTTGCTCCGTCCGTAGGATGTTATCTTCTCTTTCCAAGATCTCCAGTAGTGCCTAATGCTTTTTCTCCTGAAAGGTTGGTCTACACGTACTAGAAATCAAAGCTCAAAAGAGCTCGCTCTCTTAAAAGTGGTGCCCAATATACTAAGTCAATGGTCCGATGCTGGAAATCACGAATACTATGGCGGACAACACGTTCCACAAGGTTTCACTGACGCTCCGATCAAGTTGTGAAAACGAGGTCAAACCAACACTATAAAGCTAAAGGAGACTGCAAACAAACAGAAGGCCGCACCATCAAATTAGCTCCAGTTTAACAGGGTTTGTATGCATTCGCACATACATAAATCTAAATCTAAATGTAAATACAAATAATTAATTAGGGATATATATAAAATAGGATAATGCTCTGGTCTCTATATGAATTTAAGTCATTAGACAAAGATATAAATCCGCCAAGGTAAATACATAGTTGGTATGCCTGGATTAAACAGTAAGAATATGAAGGTTAGAAACCGATCCATACTATTATACAATATATAAAATTCTCATTTATCAGGGCAAGTCGATTTTTATACTTTGCAAACAATGACAAAACGGAGCCTCACTAGCAAAATAAGCTATTAAAGGATAAGAACCCGTGCGAAAATAAGTAGTAGGATATCGGGACAAGGTTTGAACTAGTTTCAATAATGTAGCTAAAATGAAATATTAGTAGGTTCTAAAAGCCCACAACCAACGTCTTGATAGTTAGAGACACTTGATTTAGTTTATAAATGAAAGTGGATTTTAATTTCCTTGTTATTATAGTTCGATGGACAAAGACGATTAGTTAAACAAGATAGTAAAGCTAATCAAATGCCTATATTAGATTAACCTAGTAATAGCCATAGATAAACATAAAGATCTGGAAATGTATCATGAATTTGCCGGAAAATAGTGAAAGGTGTTAAAACCACTCAGCCAGTAGTCTTATTTACATATACTATGATAAAGGGAAGCAAGAATAAAAGAGGACTATCCAAGCCTAAAAAGCAAATAGAGGAACACGCTGTTGACGCCAGGCCCAGTTTGTGACCAAAATCTCTAGGCAAAAATGCTCATATAAGGATCCTCTATCACCTTAAATAAAATAGGGTGAATACATTTCATATAAATGATCTAGTGGTAGTCTCGGAAGCCTACATATAAACAAATTATTTCATTCTTAAAATAAGCCAATCTGACTTATCAGAAGGTACCAAAAGGCTGATGTTTAACAATTTAAATAAGTTTTTCGGGTTTCTACTTGGATTAATAGCGAATCTGCCCACTATGATTTGATGAAAATGCTTCACATTTGTTATGAATTTTAGTGTACTATGAAGCTTGAAAAGTTATTCTTATCCAGAGTGTCTTATCAGAACATTTAGCTGGAATCGAATCGTAGGTGTGATGGGGAATGGGGTGAGCAAGTACCTGTTAGGAGCCCCAAGCCTAGCCCCAATGTGTTGCAGGGAAAGTATAAATTTACAGGCAAAGTAATCCAACCTAAATTCATAGCATTTTGTTGGTGATTTCATATCGTGAAGAACAGAGTATTTGTCATTAAATTTGTCATTTTATGCGTTGACTCTATAAAAGGGCTGATTGCTGATTATAATTACGCAAATATTTAGATAAAAATAACATCTAGAAAAAAAAGAGATAAATAATGGGGGAAAAGTAACTTACACGGCCCTTCGGATTTTTGTCTGGATGATACGTCATTGAACATTGGTAGTAGGCTCGACGAATAGTTGATTCTTCTGTCTCTCTATAAAGTAAGGAAGAGAAGAGATTCGGATAAATAAATAGTACAACAAAATGCTTGTGTGTCTCATATATCTTTTTTAATTTTGTGATGCCAGAAATCCTTCATTTTAATTTAACCCTATGAAGCCATCGGCGTATCCCAGGGTCTAAAATATTTACAAATATGAAGACAATTGAATTGAAAATATATATTTATATAAAGTAAGCCGTGGAATTAAGAGGAAAACTGGATAATTTTCTGGGTCAGGTTAAATTGATTATAGGAAGAATAGTTCTCACGTAAAAGATTAGGTAAAGAAAGCGTATAATCTGCAAATTTAGTAAGGATGGGGTGTGTTGACCTCGTTTTCACCACTTGCTCATGTTATCAGGTAGACTTAGTAGAACGCACCTAATCCGGCCGTCCCATTAGAACGAATCACTTCAACATCCAAGAACGGTAACCGCTCACCTTCCTCTACTTCAATTGTGAATTTCAGTTTTTAATTAATTTGGTTTATAAAGATATGAAGACCAAGATGTTGTGGCCTTTGGTATGGTCGCAGTCTCCTTTCGATT